CCATCTTTGATCCGCCAAGTGAATATATTTGTCATATTTCTTCGTTTATTCGGTCCTACATCGAGAGGTAATCGGTAACCCAGAGGTCTCCAACATCGTTACGGTAGAGGCGCATATAAATGACGCTCTACAGTGCGATAGCAGTCTTATAGGGAACTCGAAACACCAAAATGTAATAATATCTTCACTTCATAGCAAGATTTGAGTCAGATTCTGCTAAATTGGCTTGTGCGGATTGGTGAGGGCGACGCTGAAGGATGAGTAGATCAAGGAACAGAAGACATAGTATAGAAGTCACATTGTTTGTGTTTGAAGATAGACACAAATAGGCTTTGGCATATCCATCCTGCGATAGACTCACAGCTTCTCTGTTTCGACATTTTCCCGACAACGCCACACCCAGCACACGGCCATGGCTGCCGAGGCTCTAATTTCGATTCATCGCTTGGACAGTGATTCTTACAGAGCTGAATTGCTTCCTTCTTTTTTTTTACTCGAGCCAGTAGGTTTCTTCTCGGTTTTCTAAACTCGGTCACGACCTGCATCTCCCCGGATGATCTGGTTCTCCCCCATAACAAGGTGAGATCTGTCTTGCCTAAGGGCATGAAGAACCTTTACTGGTAACCTCTATGGATACGAGTCCCTTCCAGACCTGGGTCCTGAGCCATTTCCGCAAAGTTGCGGCTGGTCTTTCAGATTTGAAGACAGGGATCGTCATAACATCTCGGAATATCCAAGTCTTACCATGAAAGGACATTCAAGTCCTTGCGGATCCACAAATTAAGACGATATGGGCCTTTGTGATCACCAAAAATTGAGATTTCGAACCTCTTTAATGACATTACATTGTGAGATTCATTCAACTGTCATAGTATTTGTCGAAGCAGAGCAGCGTGGTTCATCTCCGCGCATCCAACATTTTATACAGGTAATTCGGCGGTCATATCAGCTGAGAAATCCTTTGAAATAAAAGAAGAAGAATGGAAGTGGCAAGTTTGACCTAGTGCCCTCTGGCCTAGAAGAGCCGGGCAGGCACACGTCCGATAAGCGATGGCGTGCTTGGCCTTAGAGATGA